TTTTTTTTCAGAGCAAGAAACTCAAGAACGGTCAATAAATTAATTCCATCATAAACGTTTTCGAAAAACGCTAACTCCCCTTTGGATTAAATAGTAGACATCTCAGCTGATTGATAGTGAAGTACAGGGTATATTGATTTCGAACCTGGAGGAGGTCCAAAGTTAGATAAGCATAATACTCCATCCAGAAAATGAGGCCTAGTATCAATTAATGGATTAGACAGTAGTATTATTTGCCTCGTGTCGGCTAACTCCACTGGCGCTTTCTGGCGCTCAATTCATTGAGGTATAGTAATCCTTTGGCCATCGACTAGAAAGGAAAGGATAAAGTACCCTGAAATAAATGGTTTCCAGGCACAATTTACCCGATTTTACTTTTTGAAGTCTTCAGTGTTGCCTCCTGGCTCACCTTACACCAGTGTCATTAGCAGTGATGTTCTTCTAAATGCTTTTCACGCATTCAGTCTTTAATTTTTCTTGAGAGAATTTGAATATCATTCCTGAGATAATTCAATTTTCTATTTTCATTTCAGTGATCTCCTGTGCTTTTTGACTTTATTACTGCTCTGAGCGGAAACGAAATTGGAAATTGTTCATAACTGCACGGGCTTTAAACATTCTGTTCATGAATTAAAGAGCGATTGTTCCAGCTCTTTAATTTCTAATAAACCGCCACAACGAGCCTGTTAAGTAGTCCAACTGGCTTGAACTTTGAAGTATCTCATTTTACGTAAACATACAAGAGTAGTTCGATAACTTAGGAAGGATCAATGACAGTCTTGTCCGGACAATTTAGATTGAAAGAAAAAACAGCTACTGCTCAATTAAACGACTTATCTGAGTAACATAGCTAGAGAACTTATGACCTTTCTGGTGATTGCACGTATAGCCATTACTGACGTGCGTAATGGCTAGAGTAGACTCTCTTAAAGCCTTAGCCTTTTAATTAATTTTTATTATGCGTTTTTCCCCAGTCTGTAGCCTTTTTTTATTATGTTTCAACACCAGTCAATTAGAACTAACTAAGCTTGATTCAGGATATCTCTAGATTTGTTCATCACTCACTACACACCATAGTTTATAATAGAAAGAATGGTTATGAAACCTGGCAAAGCTCTTTGTTGTATGTATTTGTTTGCTATTTTGGGGGTTGACCCTGCAAAAAGCCTGGCAAAATACAAAAGGTGGTTATGTGTGCTCATACAAGTAACCAATAGAAGCATTGTGATGACGTAATTCATGCAGAGTCTATGCAGAGCATAAAACAAAAGATGCGCAGGGTCAAGGACCTTCCAACATAAATCTTAGCCGGTTTGTTTGCTTCTTTGATGTTTGCCATCCCCCCCTATTAACTATGCGTCATGCCAGAGGTAGTAAAGGAAATCTTGGCTGAAAAGCAGTTCAAATTCCAAAGAATACCTAATGGTTCTCTTTAACTGATTCTGGGGTTTTTTAAAAGTTGATATCTCTGTAAGTGGTTCGAATACGAAGTGAACTTTTAATGATTAAAGTATTTTTATACCGTTAGAGTTACGCAATGCTGTATTTCAATAACGTCAAACCATGCCACTCATTGACGTCATAAATTTCCATCAAGCTATGCACAAATAGACTTAGCGGCGCGCGGGAAACTTAAAATCCGAAAATAGCTGAAAGAAAACCCCAGCATTCAAAACAGGCAAAGAATTATCAACTTCAAATCGCTGAAACAGCCTACAGAAACACCATCTTGTGATTTGGAACAAAACTGCTTTTTAGCATTGACCATTGTATGAGATCATGATGGAGGTGGTGAACTGCGAAGGAGGGGGAGGGTAAGCTGGTTATGGTTCACTAAAATTAAGGCCATTCGATTCTTTGAACGCGCGCTGTTAGACTGGATAAGATCGATAGTGTTTTTAGGGGTATGATTAACGGGGAACGGGAAACAATGCAACATACGTACCACCCCTCTCGAATTTGAACTGGACTAAATTTTATGTTTCACAAACTTCTTGGTGCATAAGTGGAAGAGGAAAAAATAGTTCCTTGGAAACAAAATACCCAATGCCAAGCCAGAGTGAAAAACATACCATATTTCAGACCGAAATGGTCAAAATCTATACCTTTTTTGAGACCAAAACACCTCAAAAACCAAACCCTTCGAGGCCGCACATACCTATATATGGTTCATATAAGGCAGTACCCCCCAGACTGTTCACAGCCTCTCTATTTATGCACTCGAAAGAAAAAGCGAGCGAAGCGAGCGGGTTTGCGAGGGAAGCGAGCAAGACAAGTCTCCAGTTTTGCGCTGGCGTCCAGTTCTCTCGCGATTCTATCCGCGCGTTCAACGATCGAATACTGAAATACGAGAAAATATAGGGGTGTGAACAGTGTAGTACCCCCTTCCGATTTCAGAAATAAACTCGGGCAGGACTGTGCATAAAATCTCTTGATAAAGTGTAGCATAGTGTCGATAGACATGAGCCTTGTTCAGAGGGTAAATGCATATGGCGTCTTAAACTATACCATAAAAGGTCAGAAAATTATCTTTCCACTCGTGCATTTTTTTCTTCGGAAACTGCTTTTTCTAGTCTGCATCTTATGAACCTAGCAATACCCTTGTTTCTAAGCAACATCCTTGATGTTTGGACCCGCAAAAAATCTATATAGGTCAGCCTTTACATTTTCTTGACAAAGAAAAATAATGGAAAAGCATGTGCAAATTATCTTAATCCCATAATCTTTGTCTCTTAATTCTCGATTGTAACACGTATAGTTCCTCATCCGCCAAAGAATGTTAATTCAAGAGCATCTTTTTGAGCAACGATCAATTAACTCGCAGTTGCTTCCACTCATCTCTCCGCTGGTTAGCAATATAGAGACAACGGAAAAAAATCATGTCACGGTATGTTAAACATTGAAGTCAACACTTGGACAAGGGGCTTTCATTAGAATAATTCTTAACTTAGATGCGTAAATCGTATCGCGTTATTTGTAAACAAGCGAATTAAGTTTTTATCGTGTTAAGAACGAGGAATGGATTAACGCGCTGGATTTAAGTGCCGCCTAAACGATCCTAAACTTGTCAACTCCACCTTGAATTAAAAGGTGAATAGCCATTTTGTGCATACTTAGAACATACGACACTCATTTCGGAGCTGAAGGTACTTAGAAAAAGGATCCCCCCTGGGAGACATAAAGCAGTGTTTTTTAAAGGGCGTTTCACTCGGATTGTATATCACAAGGTCAATATTTTAACAGTTTTAAATCGAGTTAGGAGAGAGCTAGTGTTTTTTTTTCATGTCTTGCCGTCGGCTCACGCCATCGGCTCAGAATTCTGATCATTAACGGGCGCGAAAACTGCCAAAGGCTGTGTTTAATATCAGACGAAGATGCAATAGTTCTTAATTGCCGGCGCGATCAAATTGTTCATTTTGTCTCCAAATGAATACATGGTTGCAGCCACGATTCTCAGATTAAGTCTGATCGTAATTATTTTGAATTTCATGATAAAAGTCATGATGTAGACGTAGATGTCTTTTCGATTTCGTGTCCCTTCGGAACGGCCATGGCTCGTGGTTCATCTAATTCACCACGATGAGTCCTCCTGTTCTGAAACGTGCAGATAATGGATCACTCGGATCAGAGTCGGATTCATACCTGGGGCCCGTTTCTCGAAGATCCCGAAAAGTTTTCGCGCCCAATGCCCTAGGAAAATTTCAAATCTTATGATTTCAGAGCTGTTACAGAAGTTCCCTTCATACAAGAAACTTCAGGCGTAAACACATCTCTGTTTTTAGATACAGATTAATTGAAAATAGCTTTGCGGGCCCGAAAAGGTTCCGGGACTTTCGAGAAACAAGCCCATGAAAGCAAATTTACTTATGCCGTTTAGCAGTTCATAAAGTGATCAGGTTGATCTCACGGGTTGAGGCTTATCATACACAAGTAAGTACTTTTGTTTTGGAAGTTCTTTTACTCAAAACAAGCCAAGACGCGAGAGTTAGTATTAGCAACGGAATGTCGACTAGTTTCTCGTGATCTCTCGTGAGTCGAACAAAATTGCAATGAAGCCTGTTCCAATTCCTCTCTTAGTTCAAGTCACGGAATTTAAGACTTTTGTCTCGACCAAGATCTCCAGTCGCTCTGAGACAGAGAAACGCGTTTGCCGATCAAAATTAGTTGATAGACACAAACGTTGCACTTCTCACTGAGAACTAAAGAACAAAATCAACTCAGAATTTGAGCTCTACTTATGACCAATTCACTGTTGTGCACGTGGTCTTCGTCTCAGATTGGAAAAAAAAAAAAAAAAAAAAAATCATCTGATTGAATGAATATTTTTTTTGTGTGTTTCTAATCGTAACCCTTTCCTTTGACTATCTTTCAACGACAGTCAATTGGACTTGACACTAGAGGTCGATCTAGACTTGTTCCGTAAAAAAAAAAAAAAAACGGCCGGGGTATTTAACAATTATTCCACAAGCACGCGTTGGATATAAGATGGTAGAAAGCTAACGAGGCGCGTAGCGCGCGCTAAGTTGGCTATAGCCATCTCCTATCCAACAAGCGCGAGTGGAATAATTGTTTTATTAAAAACACCCCCAAAATATAAAAAACTAAAATCAAAGAAAACGCCCCAAGAAATCACGCGTACGCTTACCATATTTGTAGAGCATGGTATAATGGCTCATCTACCATGATGGTTAAGCCAATGAAAACTCTTAAATTGCATTATCCAATGGTCCAGTTTTTACTCAAGTGATATAGCTTTTAGACATGCGAGCGCAGCACGATCGATTAGCTAAGATTGGGTACATCATCTCCCCTGTTCAAAAATAACCACGATCTTCTTTTCTCGTTATTGAATAAGTGTAAATTCAATCCTTCGTTCATATAATTTATATAACATACCAGCTTTTTAAAGAAGGGATAAAAAAGAACTTAACACGTCCCCGCCCTCTTCCTCTCCAGTGCCTCACCCAGAAAATGATTTCCTTCGAAACCATCGCGTGAGTCTGTGGAGGTATTCCTGAGCGGGTGGAGTTAAATTCTTTGCAAGTTTGGTTTGACTGTACATTTTGATTGCCAAGAAAATTACCTAGAAAGGATTTTTTCTACACCGGGAAATCTCTAAGCTCGGATACAGCCAAAGAAATAAGACTAACTTTATCCGATCCGGAAAGATTTTTGGCGTTGTTTAGAGCCCTCGGTAACGTCACTGTTCTGTCAGCGTGCACTGGAATGACAAGAACGTAGTTGAAGACTACCAACCACGAAGTTGCAAGAAAGCGATAGCATTCGGAAATTTCTGCTTCGTTTGTGCACTTCTGGCTTCATGCAGGGCTCAATGACTTAACCAACGTTGAGTTGGGCTACCTGATGGGTTGCTAGTGTTTTCAGTATGCGCTGGAATCCGCTCTTGGATCGAGATTTCAAGGACATCTGTGAGGAAATTGACGGAATTGGTGTCCGTTTATAAATGGTCACTTGCTCATTTACATGATTGAACAGTGGAGCTGGAGAGTGTTCTCAAACGACGGGCGAACACGTCACGTTGATTAGTCGCTTTGCATGCCTGAGCTATCGTTTCACACAAACATCTGCAAAGAGCTCACAAAAGGCGAGTGGTCCGACATGGAGAACGAGCAGAAGGCTGCAAAAATGGCGTTTTCCGGCACACGATCTCTGCTACTTTGGTGTCGGCAGCAGACGGAGGGGTACAACGAGGTGAATGTGTTTAACATGTCAACCTCATGGCGGGATGGTTTAGCGTTCTGTGCGATTATTCATCGTTACCGACCGGATTTGATGTAAGTCTGAAGCTCTCGAGATGGGCAATCAAAGCAACGTGCTTGTCTGACAAGCTTTTCACGCTGTTTGCTTTTGCTCTATTTATCTCTAGTGCCCGCTGAAATGCGGCTTTGTTTCATTGTTTTTACGGAGAATTTTGTTTCTGTTCCATAGAGATTTTGACAGGCTGTCCAAAGAAAATATTTTGGAAAACAATGAATTGGTAGGTTTATATTGAACTTTGTAAAGAGAAAAATTTTTATGGGAACCGTTTCCTATATAGAACGCTTCTGCTTCTGCACGTTCGAAATTCAATTTTTCATGGTGATAGCGCTCTTGTTCGTCAATTATTTTCTTTAATGGTGTCACAGCAACTAGAATAGATACTTAAAGCAGGAGATAAGAAAATGTGCGGTTCATTGAGAAACTAAACAAATATTATTGTCAAAGATTTATGTCTTTCCGGCCCACGGCTGTGCAAGCATTGAATGCTAACATTCTTGCAGCGACACCTTTGTTTACAGTACACAAACACAAGAGTTTGGCTGTTATTAAAGCCGTTAACGCCGTTGAATAGGTGATCTTTCGAATTATTTTTGTTTTCGCGACAGAAGCGTTCAATATTGTGTTTGATCTCTTGTGGGTTCTGCATACAGCAACTTTTTTGCGTGACGCTTCGGAATGCAAATGCGATCCATTTAATTTTGATTTCGCTGCAGGGTTCTAAAAGTTCTTTCTTTTGAAAAAGAATGCAGTTAATTTAGCTGTGAAAGGAATCAGTCTTCCGTTGGTAATTCTTGAATTTTAATGAACACGCCTATGCTTTTGGATTCCTGTTTTCGGACCTATATCGTTCGATCCCGAAACCACTGTGGCCATTAAACCTTGTCAGCTATTAGAAATTTAGTTAACGGGGCCTGTTATTTAGCCATCGGCACTTTAAATTTGGTGATATGATCCAATTGTCCTTTCTAGTAGGATAGATTGTCTGGTTTGCTTTAAAAGCGCAGTTTTGTTTTTTATTTCACCTCATATCGTCAATAACAGTAAATCTCAGTGCAAATGTCGTGGTGATATTGATCTGCATTTTTGTCAACACTGACTGCTTCAAATTCCTTAATCGCTACAGTTGCCAGAAATTCAGGGTTTTAATGGGGTGGGTGGGTGAAACTCATTAAAGTCAGCTGACTGCATGTCACACAATTCTGCGGTAACATTAGTATATTTAGACTGATTTATAATACAGCGACAAATTTAACGTATTTACAGTGACTAGATTGCCCTCTCCAGTTGTCATGCACTGAATTTTGTTTAATCTTATCATTTCCAGAAATAAGTTCAGCATAATGAAACAATCAACCATGAGATCAATAATTATAAATTAGACAGATTTAATGTGGGTCAATCCAATAATTGAAGGTTATGTGACAAAAGGGGTTTCTGCTAATATTTCCTGATTTTTTTAAATTTTGTTCCAGATCACTACATTTGGCAAACTTACCATTTTTTGTGAACACGCCTAGGAATCCTGCATATGTGCTTTTTCCTTCTTATCATTCCGAAGGATTTTACCATAGTAACAACCATTTCTCTATATGCTGAAGCTTGAGTTGCTAGGCAACTCCTCATTGGCATAAAGTTATTTATAAATGGCCAAATTTAGCCAAGGAATTTTTAAGATCCTTATCAACAAGGATTAACTCATTTGCTAACAAGCAGAAAATAACTGCAGTGAAACTGAATGACATTTAGGCATTGTCATGTCACCAATATCAAGTTGTGAAGAATATTAACCTTCATTTAGGAATTGTTAGACTTGCCACAAGTTGACCTCATGAGTTTCAGGCTAGAATAGCTAAGCTAGTGAAGCGAGCTGCGAGGTTTTAGACTGCAAAGTGGTGTTGTGAAAACACAAGACGAAGGACTTTTCTGAAAGTCTAAGGAATTGCCAGAAATGAGGTAAACTCCTGTAAACTCTGCAGACATTGCGACCCTCAGAACTGATAAATGTGAACATGAAGGCTGAGTGTTACTTCCATAAGGGGAAAAAATTTGTATAATAGCAATCTAACTTGCTTTTGCAGTTTTTGAGAACAAAGAAACCATTTGTTAAGGTGTTAATTTTTGTGCTAAGGTGTTTAGCTAATATTAATAGCCTCATACAGTGTACATGCTAATTCTAGCTATGACCACCCCTGACAATTTGTTTGAAGGAGGAGAGTGTTGGGATTTTTGGTATTGCTGATTTGGCCAATTCTGGTTCAGTTTTTTGGTTTTCGCACTTAAAAACAGCAGTTTTTCTGTTTTGGTTTCTTGTGTGGTTTGCAGGGTTTCTCCAATTCAGTCTTTGGTTTTCGGTTTTTGTCAACACTGATGGTGGTTTTTCGGATTTTTCTGTCCAATGCATTTCTCGGTTTTTCTGGTTTTGTCAAGGAAGTTACACCCTGCAATCATACTAAAACTCTAATTCCAAGGACCACTTATATAGCCTTCTACCTAGACTTTCTTTTAGATGATGTGTGACAAGCCTAGTGGCTTTAGTAGCCTTTATTTGGGTCATAACAACTGCCAAGCAGACTATGAAAAGCTAAAGATAATATAAAAGCTTAAAATCTGTTTCTCAAGTATCACGCGGGATAATATCTTGTGGACTTTGACCTTAGACTGTGGACTATCAAGTTTCTATTAATAGCTTGATTGCGAGTTGTCTCCCCTTTTTGTTGCAGGAATAACATTGGGCACACTCACTCCATTCACGTAGAATAGAAGTAAAGGAGAGACTGTTTGTTTAGTTGTAAAATAAAGTAGTTTGGTTGTAAAATGCAGCCGCCAATTGTACCCACACAAATGAAAATTCTGACAAGTGAAAAGTCTGACAATGGCAATCAAAAAGCAGCTTCAGAATGAGGTGTTTCTTTTAAACAAAAGTCACCTAAAACCATTTTATGGTGCAATTTTTTCTAGTTTCACATTGCTATAGGCCTCCAATTTACAAAAAAAGCAAATTTTTAGATTATGATGAGTTCTGCACTAACAACAGTGGGGAACTAGAGGAGGGGCCTGAGGG